CCTGCCTTGTGTCAAGAGGCAAGGAGTTCCAAAGTGCACACTAAAAGATTGATTTCTTTAAAATGCAGAACAGGTATTTTGTGACACCTATAACACCAACAGATCTATGCCAAAGTGGCTTCTAAGTGGGTTTTATATTTCTATTAACAAAATTTATAATCAATGCATAATTAAAACACAAAACAGCAAATCCATCAGGACAGTAAAACACCCTCATTTAAAATATACAGTGCAACAAATTATTACACATATTCATTATTTAAAGTGGCATGCCCATGAGCCCTTTGGAGAAGCGACGTGGCTCACTGCTCCCCCCTGCCCAGGTGCAAGCCCTCCGTCGCTTGCCAAACAGATGCTAGTAAACAGACCCTGACACTCACTTGTGAGAGTCCCCCAGGGGAATCCTGCAAACACGGTGCCTGCCTCTCCCCATGGTAACCTGGCTGCATATCAGCCATTGACTGCAGAATGTAGGGATCACGTTGCTGGAGCAAACAGTGGCCATGTTTACTCTAATACTCCTTCTGTTAACAGTGGTCAGTGGGATGCTTTTAGGAGGCTTATGAAAAGGGCTTTAGCTCCAACAGCACCTGCCTCGTTGCTTAGAATTGTGGAGTTGGGAGGGGTCCCCAGAGCCATCCAGTCCAGCCCCTAGCATTGCAGGAATCACAACTCAAGAAGCCAGCCAGCTTCTGCTCTTACCCTCCAATGCAGGAGAGTCAATCACCTTATTTAAAACATCTGGGGATCAGAGATATACTGTGCACCAAGGGCAGGCAGACCAGGTTTGCAGAATTTATTTTTATTTTATTTTATTTTATTTTTTCTAGACCCTGAGCATCTCAGGAGGGCGGATCTATGCTAAAATGAAGGAGCAAGGGTGCCTCTCAGCACGTGCTCAGCCTAGGGATTGAAGATCAGTACTGTGCTCAAAGACCCTTCACACAAAAATCCCCTCCCTCTTCCCCTCCCCTCAAAAAACCCCTTTGTTTCAGGAGCCTAATTTAGGGAGGGAAGCATTTCATTTCTTGTAGCTTATGTCAGCAAAGTAGGACTCAGAAAGCAAGGCGGCCCATTGTCAATCACCCAGTTCTATCTACAGCTCCTAATTTACCCCATGGAGGTTCCACTCTGAACCCTTATGGCCAATGGGACTGTCCCTGGAAAAGAGGGACACTTGGAGGGTCTGGTAATGGATACAAGTGGAGGCTCCATTTGGGTAATCGCAGCTGAAGCTAGACCATGGTGTGTGTGTGTGTGTGTGTGTGTGTGTGTGTAAGTAACACATGTGTGTGGAAGCCTTTCCAGAAACATCCTGCAGCAGTGAGTTCCACAGTTTCCCCGCCGTAGGACAGCCCTGGGCTATATAGATCATTGGTCTGGCTCAGCAGAAGGCACCTTCAAATGCTCACATATAAAATGGGGCATCGCTCAGGAGTAGAGCACCTGAGAAGCTCCCAGTTTAATCCCCAACATCTCCCACAAAAATGGGCAATGATGAGAAAGGCCCTTTCACAAGGAGCAGCAATGGCCACCAACCTGGAAAGAGGATTAGACAAATTTATGGAGGAAAAGCCTATCAATGGCTCTGCCTCCATGGCTGCTTCTGAATCCCAGATGCTGGAATCCACAGGTGGGGAGAGGGCTCTTGTGCTCGGATCCTGCCTGCAGGCTTTTCACAGGCTGGCCACTGTGGGAACAGGATGCTGGACTGCATAGGCAGCTGACTCAACCCAGCGGGTCATTCTGACATTCACACATTCTAAATTTATTTTCTATTGTTTATCTCTGTTTTTAAGCCACTCCTCATCCCTTGGAATTGCAGTCCAGTGAGCACACATGATATGTGCTGAGCAAAAACAAGAGCAGTCCTCCATCTGCAAAACATGAAAATACAGAGTGCCAGGCAGGCAGCAATGTGATAATCCAAGTCTGGAGTGCCAGGTGGCACCAGATTTCCTCCATAGCCTACATAGGGAAGCTGCCTTATATAGAGTTGCAACACTGGTCCATCTAGGTCGGTATTGTCCACACTGACCGGTAGCAGCTCTCTGTGTTTTTCTCCCCCCCCCCCCGATGGGAGCATACCTGGAGATGCCAGGGACTGAACCTTCAGCATGCAAAGCACAACTGCTCTACCTGCCCCATCCCATGTCCCCAGTATTTTATTCAAGTTGGCACCCCTGATGTGGAGATTAACAGGTACTGAGAAATGTCAGGGGGAAGGAATAGACTGCCATGTGAATGCAGCCCTAGTCTCTCATAAGAAAATAGGACCTTGTCTTATGCTGAGTCAGACCAGCTTATGGACATCCAAGAAAGCTGAATGCTGGAAGGTTCGGGAAAGATATAAGGACTTTTTAATGCAGTGCCAAGCTAACACTATGGAACTCACTCCCACGAGAGGCAACAATGGCCACCAACACTGATAGCTTTAAAAGGGGATTGGACAAATTTGTGGAGGATCAAGGCTTATACCTTATACCTACGGGACCGCCTCTCCTGGTATGCCCCATGGAGGACCTTAGGGTCCACAAATAACAACACTTTGGAGGTCCTGAGCCTCAATGAGGTTAGACTGGTTTCAACTTTTCAGCACTGGCCCCAACATGGTGGAACGCTCTGTCACAAGAGACTAGGGCTATGCAGGACTTGACATCTTTCCGCAGGGCCTGCAAGACAGAGCTGTTCCACCTGGCCTTTGGTTTGGACTTGATCTGACCCTTATGTTTCTCTCCCCTTATGGCCTTGATTTATCAGGTACTTTAAAATGAGGCTGCATTTTAAATTGCATTTTAACCTGCATTTTAAATTGGTTCCCCCCTTCCCCTCCATTATTTTACTGTGATTTTATTGGTGTTAGCTGCCCTGAGCCCGGCTCTAGCCGGGGAGGGCAGGGTATAAATAAATTGTTGTTGTTGTTGTTGTTGTTGTTGTTGTTGTTGTTATTGATGGCTACTAGCCATGCTTATTGTCTTTGTCAATGGAGTTTTCTTGGCAGGGATACTGGAGCGGTTTGCCGGTTCCTCCTCCAGGTGGATCACGTTTGGTCAAAACTCTCCACTAGTTAAAGCTATGGTTTTCCCAGTAGTGATGTATGGAAGTGAGAGCTGAACCTTGAGACTCTTGAGAGTCCCATGGACTGCAAGAAGATCAAACGTATCCATTCTTAAGGAAATCAGCCCTGAGTGCTCACAGGAAGGACAGATCCTGAAGCTGAGGCTCCAATACTTTGGCCACCTCATGAGAAGAGAAGACTCCCTGGGAAAGACCCTGATGTTGGGAAAGATGGAGGGCACAAGGAGAAGGGGACGACAGAGGACGAGATGGTTGGATAGTGTTCTCGAAGCTACCAGCATGAGTTTGACCAAACTGCGGGAGGCAGTGGAAGACAGGAGTGCCTGGCATGCTCTGGTCCATGGGGTCACGAAGAGTCGGACACGACTAAACGGCTAAGCAACAACAACAATAACTAGCCATGCTGGCTGTGCTCTGCCTCCATGGTTGAAGGCAGCAATGCTTCTCAATACCAGAGGCTCGAAACCACAGGAGGGGAGAGTGCTCTTGTTGCTCAATTCGTGCTTGTGGGTTTCCCACTGGAGCATCTTCTTGGCCACTGGAAGAACAGGATGCTGGACCAGATGGGCGATTGGCCTCGTCCAGCAAGCTCTTCTTCTGTTCTAACACTCTTAAGTCTCGGGAGTCAGCAGAGCGCCAGGTAAACAGCTTCAATAAATCTCATCTCTTGGCAGGAATGTGCTGACAGGGCTGCAATGGCTAGAAAAAACATTTTGGCTCTCCCCGCATCAAGGTCCAGCTCTCTTTCTTTCTCTCTGCCTCTCTTTCCCTGTCGTTCTCCCTTTAAGCGTCATAATTCCTAGCAAACAACAGGCAGCGGGGGTTGGTCGTGTCAGCCGCAGTGTTAAAAGCGGGTTTGGGACAGAGCGCCAGCTCAGTTGGCGGTGACACCGTAAGGGTGGGAGAGGGAGAGATCTGATTCAGTTCACCTTTCAAAGCAAACCTCCCACATCTGCACATTCCAAAGCAATGCAGCAACCAAAATGAAGCCGTCCTTCGAAACCCACACTTCTTCGAAATTTGCAATGCAGTTCTCCAGCCAAGTGAGATGCACAAACATGCATTGACTGGGGCAAAGTGTGTTTCGATAAATGCACATATTAGCAAAAAATAATAATAACAGACCCAAATGCATCCTGTGAGAGAAAGCTGCTTTGCAGAAATGGGTGCAATGTTGCACAGGAACATGTGTTTAGTTGGGGGAAATTCTCATGCAAAAACTGGTGGGTTTTCATGCAATCTTTTCCCCCCTAAGAAATTGCAAACAGATGTGGGAATGTGGAAAACTGATCCCTAGTGATGTGGGAGTGGAAACTTTTAAAGGGGTTTATTGCATGGTTGGACCTAGATCTCTTTTTTCTTGTCTGAGGGCATTCCCCATACGAACAGGGATGGGAATGTCATCCAAGGCCACATTTATGCCATAAAGAACACTGATAGAACAGAAATCTGATTCAATTTGCACTGAAAGACGCATCCATCACATTCACGCTTTCCAAAACAATCTGAGAACTGAATCACAACTTTCCTTGAAATTCACAGCTATCTGAATTTTGCAAATGCCGTTCCCCAACCAAAACCACATGCATGGGGGGGGGATAACATGCAGAAATATATTTTACATTAGGGGGAACTGTTTGCAAAAATGTGCAAATTAGTCAAATCTGCATAAACAAATGTGTTTTTTAGGAGAAATTTGCATTACGATGCTGATGAATTTTCACAATGGTTTTTTTTTCCTTCAAAAAAAAGATAATCGCAAATTGTTGCATAAGGATAGATCTTCTCATCTGTACAAGCAAAAGGCATTCTCATACATCGCTAAACAACCCTATACCAAGCCAGACCTTTAGTCTATCTAACTCAGTATTGTCTACACTGACTGGCAGCATCTCTCAAGGTTTTTAGGCAGCCCTACCTGGAGATGCCACAGGGGATTAAACCTGGGATGTTCTGCATGCAAGGCAGGTGCTCTACCACTGAACTATGACCCTTCCGCAATCACAATTCAAGGACACATTATTGGCAGCCAAAAGCACTTTGGTAGACATAGCTGGTGAGGGGTTTGTGCCCAGAGGACAGCCATAGCAAAGGCTGAGGAGCCACATCTGGCCCAAAGGTTCTCCTCTCTCCAATATGTATGCATAACAAGAACATAGGTGCATCCAGTAGCACTGAGTTCCGTAGTTTAACCCTGTGCTGCGTGAATCTGCAGCTGCGGCCAGCATGGCGATGCCTTGTATTTCCTCTGACCCACCTGGCTTATGTTCTGTCTGACAGCTTTCCGTCCCGTCTTGTCTCTCATTGATCACAGTTATATAAGAGAAGCAGCTATTCCTGGGCTGATAGGATTATGTAAGTTGGTGTGCCACCTGTCCAGAGAATGGCGACAGCAGTGCGAGGCAGGGGGAGGGGTGGAAAGGGAGGAAAAAATATATCTATAGCTCTGCAAACACTCACGCCAACACACCAATACACCTAAAGTACCCTCTGCCTTGTTTAGCTTCTCTCCTTAAAATGACCTCCTCCAGTATGTGGTATGAAAGCTGGGAAACTGCCAGACAACATGTATATATGTAGATTGTTTTTTTCCCTTAGCCAAAAGAAGAAGAAGAAGAAACCTGAACATTATTTTATTTTTTTACCTGAGGGCTGAATTCTGGTCTGGGCAACGTTTTGAGGACTGCATGCCGTTCTCAGAGGCAAAGATGGGTCCATCAAGGGGTGCCAATTTTGCCTATCAGCTAGTTTCTTTTTGCACAAACTTCCATCCCATGCCCATAAAAGCAAGATCAGGGTTCAAGGGCACATCGCAGCCAAGGAAAAACACTCAAGGAGAGTGCAAGGCAAGGTCATTGAGGAGACAGACAGAGAGGCTTGAGGGTCACGTCTTCTGACTTTCACCTTCACTAAAACACCCCAGTGGTTTCCTCCACAGCAACTGTGAGCAGGACCAAAGGTGAGGAAGTCCTGAGAGGGTTACATGCCCCATGCAACTATGTTCCTCTCTTCCTGTCACTTGCCCTCCCCCTAACAGAGCATTTAATTTGTTTTGTTGATGAAGTGCTGTAACTAGATTGATAATATAGTTATTTAAAATGGGCGTTGATAAGCTGCAAGGTGTGCAGAGAAGGGCAATCAAAGATGATCAAGGGTCTGGAAACCAAGCCTTACGAACAGCGCTTGAAGGAGTTGGGTATGTTTAGCCTGGAAAAGAGGAGACTGGGAGGAGATATGATAGCCTTCTTCAAATAGCTGAAGGGCTGTCACATGGAAGAGGGAGCAAGCTGGTTTTCTCCTGCTCTGGAGGGTAGGACTCTAACCAAGTTACAAGAAAGGAGATTCCCTCCAAGCATCAGGAAGAACTTTCTGACAGTAGGAGCTGTTCAGCAGTGGAACAGACTCCCTCAGGGCACTGTGGACTCTCCTTCCTTGGAGGTTTCTAAGCAGAGGTTGGACGGCCGCTTGTCAGGTATGATCTAGTTGGGATTCCTGCATTGCAGGGGGTTGGACTAGGTGACCCTTGGGGGGGGGGTCCCTTCCAACTCTACGATTCTACGATTCTAATAATAAAAGGGCGTCTAAGCTCCATGTATAAAATAATATAAAACAGTTATCAGGAAGACATAGGCCGCCTTCGCACCATGCGTTAAAAGCACTTTGATACCACTTTTAAAAGTCATATCCTCCCTCAAAGAATTATGGGAGCTGTAGTTTGTTATGGGTCCCCAGAGTTCATTGTAAAGAGGGACTGAGTGTTAAACTACCTTGGGAATTATAGTTCTGGGAGGCGAAACCCAGCCAGATGGGCAGGGTGTTGTTGTTGTTGTTGTTGTTGTTGTTGTTGTTGTTGTTCTTCTTCTTCTTCTTCTTCTTCTTCTTCTTCTTCTTCTTCTCCTTCTCCTCCTCCTCCTCCTCCTCCTCCTCCTCCTCCTCCTCCTCTCTCAGCACTCTTAACAAACTACAGCTCCCAGAAGAGCTGGCTGCACCAGGCCAATGGCCCATCCAGACTAACATCCTGTTCTCACAGTAGCCAACCAGCTGCCTCGGTGGGAAACCCACAAGCAGGATTTAGCACAAGATACCCCAATATATGAGTCACAGGACAGTGACAGCAAATCTCAGGCCAAATGTGACCCTCTTGGCTGATCTATCTGGCACTCAGAAATCTCCCCAGGCCATGCCGACTTCTTGGGCCACACCCACAATGCCTGAGCCACACCCACTTTCTAGGCCACACCTACTTCTCCCTAAGCCACACCCCTCACTGGCCCTTCTTTGTCCGCTCCTTACATGTTTTTGCCTAGGTGAAAAGTGCCCCGCCCACTTTCCACCTCCCACCCTGGAAGGAATGTGGCGGTCAAATTGAAAAGCATCCCCCGCCTCTGTCCTGGGAAGTGAGGGCATATTTAACAAATCGCTAACCTCAGTGGCAGCTTCATCTATGGGTGGTTCAGTTGTATAGCTAGACTGGTGTAATCAGGGCTGGGGGAGGCAGACCAAATGTCAGATTCCCTCCTCAGCCACCATGAAGCCCATTGCTCTCATCTTGCCACCTAGCCTACTTTGCAGGACTGATGTGAATTAAAATAGGGGTCATTTGGAGGATGGGTGGAATATAGCTGTAATCATAATGATGATATCAACAATAGTTTAATGCTTCCCCCATTAGAGATACCCTGAAAGCAGAGCTCCAGAGCATCACACTACAAAAATAGTATAGTATTATATTTCTCTAGGGCTGTATGGGGTGTTAGGGGAGGGGTAGTACCTCTGGTGGGGAACACGTCGTGCCCCTTCTGGGAGAGTTTGTTCACCTTTGGTCCCCACCCTTCGCTCAGCTCTCACCTGTGGCTCCTAGAAGCTGTCAGCATGCAACAGCAGCCACACCCTGGGAACGACTTTGACTGCTAAACCAGATGAAGGTAGCCAATGGGTCTCAAACCCTCTGTGAGATAGGGACTCCCTCTATTTGTGAAGACAGGCTCTGGCGGATTGAGCAGATGAGACCAATCGTGGGTCCACTCGTCAAGAAGGCAGTTTCTGCCTGTGCTGTAGAGGGAAGCGAGGGGCAGATGGGGCTTGGCCACCTGGGAAGGCAGCCCATCTAGGAGAAGGAAAACTGATTCTAAACCTCGCTGCCTTGCCTTGTGGGATATTTTCAGGAGAAGAAAAGACTAAGGAGTAAACCCTACACAAATCTGGAGTCCCTAAGATGGTTGTACTGGCAACTCCTGCAGCCAAACTGCTGCCAAATGTATGGTTCTGCTTTCCTTTGGACCACATCAGCGAGGCTGAGAGGGAGGTCTTGTTTCCTGAGCAGCCCAGGATCTCCATACACACTGCCCAGGCTTGCACCCCAGAAAAGTCACTTTGAGGCTGCTAACACAGTGGTTTGACTTCACCCCTGGAAGCGCACTCCAGACAGATGGGTGTACAGTTTGGGTGAGTCACAACCTAAGTGATTTGGAATGGCTCGAGCAAGTGAGCCCTGCTACAAGTGAGGCCACACCCACCCACAAAAAAAGCCCCAGGCTTAAAGCCTTGCAAGAAATTATAAACAGCTGGGGCAACTGCCACACAGGGGTGGAAGGGGGAAGACCTCTGCCCAGGAAAGAGATTGGTTGGAGTATGGGTGTGGGCCAACATTACTGAGTTGATGTGAGGATTATTCAGGCCATGCCTATGAAGCATTCTGGACAATTGAACTGCACTTTTGTAAAAGACAGAATGGTCTTTGACTTAGATCTGTGCCGGACTCAAAATTGTTTTTATGTAGGTTTCTTATTGCTAAATGGCTTTGGGATGCTTTATGCGATGCGATTCAGAAATGAAATGAAGAGATGCAAGAGCTCATTGGCTAAACGGGTGCCCCTGGCTGGGTTTGATCCATCAAAAGAGAATCTCCAGCAACATTAAACCTTGGAGAGCCGCTGCCAGCCAGGGCAGACCAGGGCTCGTGGTCACCACTGTGCACCTGCAAAAGATAAACAACCTCTCCAAAAACCGTAATGCGCAGGAGACACTTTGCTCTCAATGGCTACCAGCCACAATCACTACGCTCTGCCTCCAGAGTTGGAAGTAGTACTGCTTTTGAATGCCAGTCACTGGAAACCACAGGAGGGGAGAGGGCTCTTGTGCTCGGATCCTGCTTGGAAGTTTCCCACAGGCTTGGCCACCGTGATAACAGAATGCGGCACCAGATGGACCACTGGCCTCATCCAGGAGGGCCTTCTTCCTGCTCAGTTCCTGTGTGCATTGGCTTGGTCCCTCCTACCTTGAACACAGCTCCTCAAACATGCCCACGTTTCACTGGATGCCAGGACTGGGACCCTCCCTCCCTTCTGTTTTGAACAGATGAGATGTGGAAAGAGCATCTCTCCGTCAGCAAGGGAGGAGGTGGGCTCCCCACACGCAATTGATGAGGCGGCTGATTGGCGGGGCATCATTTTGCGGCCCTGCCTCTTTTCCCACTCTTTCCCGAAGTGGCACCCATTTTGCATTGTGCCACACACACCCCTCTTTGGTGACTGGCACCTACAGCACTTTCTCAAAGTTCCAAACATGCCAGTTGCTGGAGTTGACAATCCTGGGCGAGTTGCTGTAACAGTGGGACACTATCACCATTGTGATGATAATGGGATTCATTAGCTGAAATTCCTGCATTGCAGGGGGTTGGACTAGATGACTCTTGGTGTCCCTTCCAACTCTACTACAACTCGATTCTTTTCTTATTATATCACCTTCTAAACCATCTCGAGGCGATTTACGCATAAGATAATTAAAACCGTTAAACACACAAAAACAACCAATACGCTCAAAACAAGCCTGGATAGCTCAGTTGGTTAAAGCATGGTGCTGATCACGCCAAGGTTGCAGGTTCGATCCCCAACAGCTGCATATTCCTGCATTTCAGGGGGTTGGACTAGATGATCCTCAGGCTCCCTTCCAACTCTACACTTTTATGATTCTAAGACTAAAACCCCAACAAGAGGGCACTCATGGTAAACACCTGCTTATGCAGCCAGGAAAGGCCATGAGAACAAAGAGGTCTTCAACCGTTTCTGGAAATTGCAGATAGTGGCTGCCTGTTGTATGTTGTCAGGAATGTTATTCCATAGAAACAGGGGCAGCCACCTTGAAGGCCCTGCTCTGAGGTCCTGCAGAGAAGGATTCTGAGATCTTTGGAATTCACAGGAGAAACTCCTCTGCAGTGACCTACTGTGTGTTTAAAGGAGGAGGTGACCTCTTAAATCACCTGGTTCTGAGCAGTATGGAGACTTGTGTTTTAGTAATGACACTTTGAATCTGGCCCAGTAGCAGACTGGCGGCCCCTGCAGATCCCACAAGCAAGGTGCTATATACTGGTGGGAGCTTGCCCCACAAGCAACCAAGCTACTTCATTCTGCAGCAGCTGTAGCCTCCAGACCCACACCAAGGGCAACAAGGCAGTTTCAGATATGCATTGGACCATTGTAACTTCTCTCTATCAGCCAGCCAGGTGACCCTGAGTACCCTCAGGCAGGCATGAAGGTAAGGACTGTACCTTGATTATTTGCCCCTGACACCTGGGACTCCAAGGTACAGTGCCTGTGTCCATGAAGGCTCCATTTAGCTAACATTTACACTACATTCACAGGCTTATCCTCTATTTGGGTATAATTATGCTGCGCTGTTGCCACAGCATTGTTCCTGTAATTATTTGATGCCCCAGGACAACAAAACCAAAGGGGAGCAGCACATTGTCCCTTCTGCCCTTGGCCAGGGCATCAGGGGCCCTGGAAAAGATTTATCCCCTGCATGGCGCCATCCACTGGCCAAAGAAGCAGCAGCAGTAACTTTACTTCCTCCCTGTCTCCTAGGGGGAGCAGAAGGCTCCATTTCAACTGTCAATTGTCCTGGGGCTCCAAAGCAGAAAGGAAGCAGACTGTCCTCTAGCACCAACCAGGGCCACTGAGAGGCTGAACCCCCACCATGATCCCCCAGGAAGAACTCCAGGTCAAAGCAAGAAGCAGTCTGGCCTCATCTCCAGCTAGTGAAGGAGCAGGTGTCCCAGTGCTTGCATTCCTCTTCCCTCCTCATTCCTTTTTTCCTTTTGTGTCATGTCTATTAGGTTGTGAGCCAGTGGGTGGGGACTGCTCACCTTTTAATATATGCACAGCACTTTAAAAATGTCAAGCGTAAGATAACTGTTAGATAATAGCTATTATTGTTATTATAATTATTATTAAGAATAATTTCATACAAAACCCTTCACTGCTTCCTTAAATGTTGACGAAGTTTGTGAGGGTTCCCTCTCCTCTCCATATTCTTGTATGTCAACTCACATTCAATACACAAAACTTTGATTTACTGTGCAAATCCCCACATGCCCAGATATATAAATATAGATATAGGCATACACACCTCCCCCACCTCCACCAAAAAAGCAGGCACATCCCTATTATCAGAAGAGCAGTTCTTCCAGTGATCTAATACCAAATGAAACCCACCGCCCTCCCAGCAACGCCCCTTCAAATTTACAGCTCAGAATTTCCTGGGAATCCTTCCAAGCCCTCCACGATGAATAATTCAGAGGTTGCACACCATCCTCAAATTGAGCAAACTTCTTCTCCTGGCTACCTTGGGTCAAAATTGCATCGATGAGATATCTCCCCCTGAGCTTGGAGGACATCTGAGAGACCCCCGAGGAAACCCTTCCATCTCCTCTCCTTTAAGAACGGCATTTCTCTCCCCTGGAAAACTTTCCCCTCGTTTGCTCCTGGCTGCAAACCTCGAGAAAAAAACCCGTTTGGGGAAAAAAGACCCAACATTTTTGGGGGGAGGGGGAGGGAACCAAAGCGACTCTTTTGCCTCTGACATCCCAGCATCCACTATCCGTGTCCCTAGACAACTAAGCTCAGCTAGTCAAGGAGAAGACCAGTGTCTGTCCTTTTCCCCACCAGCCTCTGAAGGAGAGCTGTCTAATTACTGTAGTTCAGTGTCCCCTCCATCTGTCTCCCTCTCCCCCTCCCCCCTCTCTCTGTGAGTATTGCTCCCCCTTTTCTACCCTAGAAAACTGAGGTCTTGGGCGTGTGTTGTTGGGGAGAGGCATGGCACCCCCCCCCCGCCTCCCTTTGCATCGACCCAACCTCAACCAGAGTCTCATCCCGTCCAGCCTTGCTTATTTGTTTTCCAACGTATGCAGGAGAACAGGGTTGTTGGGAGAGGCCAGCCTTTTCTAAGCCTTCCCCTCCCGGGAGACACAACGGCGGACAATCCTCCCCACCCCCAGCCCTTGCATGGTGCCTCCCCCCCCTCCCCACCTGCTCTTTGCAAAGAAATATCAAGCACACAGCAGATGGGACTGCAGCCAAGATACCTCCTGCTAGCTCTACCTCCCTCCCTCCGCCCCAGACGCTGACACCAAAACTGCTGTGTCTTCTAACAAGCCTTTGCGATCTGTAATTGTCCCCCCCCCTTGCTCCCACTTCCCCAGCAGACGCAGGCAGAGCGTACACCTTCAGCCCCCCAACCCCCAGCCAGGATTTCCCCCGCCCCACATCTCCTTTCCCTACCTTGCTGGAGAAGGAAGCGCAATCTTGTGTCCGTGCCAATAACTGCAGATGGGGTTTGGCCTCGCTCTTGCTAGCCTCGTTCTCCTTGGTTCCGCTGGAGCTCAGTCCTCCTGGCTCCCTGGGCCCTCCAGCCCAGGGCCAACCAGCCCTGGAACACCCCACCCTGTTCTTGCACCCTCCCCAAAGCCCACCCTCTCCGCTCCCGAGCGCACCCAGCTCCCCTCAAGGCTCTTTCGGGCTCCCTCTTTGCAGCATCCTCCACTACTGAGCTTCGCCTCCTGAAGTGCTGGACAGCTCCGTGCCATAGAGCCGGCCCTGGCTTGGTGCAAGAAGGGACGGCCTCCTCCCCGATCCACAGAGCCCCCTAGAGGAGAAGAGCGGGAGGCGCAGGAGAAGGGGGGGGAATCACGCTGGATTCTGGAGAAGAGTCTGAGAGCTTCTCGGTTTATTGCACTCGGCGCCGTTGGCTTTGAAAGCCGCTCCGAAAGTATTCGACAGGGAAAGGGCAAAGGGAAATGTTAAAAAGGGAAATGCCAAACAAACCGCAGGAATCAAAGAGAACCTCTTTGGAAATCGACGTTTGGTCGATACAGAAGTTTTTCCATATTGCCATATTTTCGTAGGTGATTGTTGTGCATTTTCTCAATTTTTCTAGTTTTTCCAAAAGGGGAAAAAAAGGAATAATGAGAAAAGACTAGTGGGAGGGCATCCTGACTGCATTTATTTGTTGCACTTCTAAATCAAGGTCTCCCAAACTTGGGTCGCCAGCTGTTTTGGGACTACAATTCCCATCATCCCTGACCACTGGCCCTGCTAGCTAGGGATGATGGGAGTTGTAGTCCAAAAACAGCTGGAGACCCGAGTTTGGGAAACCCTGTTCTAAACTGTCTTTTAGTACACACTGGGGCACCAAGTCTGGTTTTACTGCTGGAAGCAATGCAATAAGGGTCGTCCTGCCCTGCTGCCATCCACTCCTTGCCCCTGCCAAAGCACCCCCTATACCTAGTTTATGTGGCCCAGGGCAAAGTGTGATGGTGGCGGCAGCAGGTTCTGCCAACATCTCAGCCGAAATTGGCACTGATGCCTGTGGCGTTTCTCCACCAACAGTGGAGGTGGCAGTGTAGATGCCACCTCAGGGGTTTCTGCCACCCGAGGCAGTTGTGTCACCCCGCCTCATGGGTGGGCCAGTCCTGAGTGCACAACTCCCAGGATCCCTTGTTGTTTCTTAATACAGAAAGCCCATTTGATATTGTTAGAGCTTAGTAACAAAGAAGCAGGTCTCTGGTCCAAGGAGCTTAAGTTTTTAAACTACAGTACAGTGGTACATTGGGTTAAGTACTTAATTTGTTCTGGAGGTTCATTCTTAACCTGAAACTGTTCTTGACCTGAAGCACCATTTTAGCTAATGGGGCCTCCTGCTGCCGCCACTGCACAATTTCTGTTCTCATCCTGAAGCAAAGTTCTTAACCCGAGGTACTATTTCTGGGTTAGCGGAGTCTGTAACCTGAAGCGTATGTAACCTGAGGTACCACTGTAGTTGCCAACCATTGTTCTAGATCAGGCTTCCCTGCGCTCGCTACAGCTGATAGGCCTTGTAGTCCACAACATCTGGACTGAGGCAGATGGGAGCGGTGGTCGAAAACATCTGGGTTTGGGGCTGATGGACATTACAGTCCAAAATATCTGGGCTGAGGCAGGTGGCAGTTGTGGTCAGAAACATTTGGGCAGGATCTGTTGCAAGCTGTGGTGTGAATCATCTTTGCTGGGGGCTGATGGGGGCTATAATCTAAAACTTTTGGTTTGGGGCTGAAAGGAACTGTGGTCCAAAACATATGGCCAGGTTGAGAAAGGCTGTTCTAGAGTTCTCCACTCCTCCACAGCAGAGATTTTTTTGGTGGGGGGGTATGTGTGTGAAACCTTGTCTCATTTTTATCAATTTATTTTCCCAGATGCTTCTTTAATTTGAAGCAACTTCTGGGATCTGTTGTGCGGCTCTCCTCACATTAGCAGAACGCTGTAGCAGAGCGAAGCTTGGCGTGTTGCTGCTGCTGCTGTGCGGTGCGGTAAATCACAGCCAGAGAAATTAAAATCCCTAAATAAACCGGTAAATGGCAATCATAAAACCTGCAAACACCCTGCATAAATCAGGAAGGGAAGCCTTTCTTTATATATATAGTAGAGTCGAGGAGGGGGTTGGGTGAGAGCAAATGCTTGAGGACACTTTGGGTAGAAGAGAGAAGACTGAAACGGGAAAGGAAGGTGACTGTGGGGTGGGTGGATCCCTGTGGGGCAGGGGAGAAAGAAAGTTGTGGGTCAGAGCACAAACAGAAGGTTGCAGGCCAT